TGTGCTGTCTTGAGATTACTAGAATCAACAACAGCAATGTTGATAAACCATGCTTTCTTGTTACATACATCCCAGAGCACCACATCAGGTGTATTGTGATGAACTGTTCGGTCGATCAGAACGCTGTGGTCCAGATGAAGGTTATATTTACTGATTTCGAGAACATTATGATAACTGTATTCATAAAATCGTGTGTCAAAATATGCGATAATCCCACAGTTTTTTGCCAATTTGCTATGTATTATAATTATAGCAAAATTGTTCTACTAAAGAATTATTAAAAATAAACTAATATTATTACTATAGTAGCAGTCGGCCGGTAGTAGCACTGCTTCCCTCGTTCTCGAAGTCATCGTTGAGAATATTACTCAGTAGATACGCGACCTATGTTCGTATGTACACGATAAATTAATATCAGTATTAAAAGTCATTAGTACACAATAATTATGGGTCTTTTGATGTAAACAAAAACAATCACCTAGTCAACACTGTTGGTCAGGTGTTTTTAACTTTTTTCGTCAAATGATCAGTTTTAAGTCAGATTATTTTTGTTCAATGGTACAAAACATACATTCAAAGTTAGAAATTAAGTAAACAAAATATGGCATACCTACGAACATGATCTAAAATTATACGTCTTTACGAAAACTGATATTCTTTCTTCGTAAGTAATATGTAGCCAATACTCTACGTATGTACAAATCACATCCCAACTAGGCTATACTAACTGTTTGAAATTTGTTCAACTTGCTGCTCTGTTCCAACCCAGCTTAATGCATTCTCCTCCTTCTGCATTTCCAGGGTTATGCATGTTTGCATGTTTTCCTTACACCATCTTGTCCTCGGAAGACCAGCATTTCTTCGTTTGGAAGGTTGGTAATTCAGAAATGTTTTGGGTATTCTTCCTGGCGCTATGAGCAATACTGTTGCTTCCGGGGGCCTTGACTTTTGTTGACCACATAGAGAACAAATATAGTTAGCACTGTGCTGCGGATTAGGGCTGGCCTGGTGTCAACATCTTTCACGCCCGTGTCATGTGACTTAGGGTCAGCTAGGAGGCATCTACAAGAACGCCCGTCTCGTATTAAATAATTTATTTTGATAAGAATCTAACGTGCTTCATTCTAGCGTTATTTTCTCACTATTAACCCTAGAATAACCAAGTTATTTTTGTAAACGTGCTTTACATTCATGGGAAAAAGTGGCCGTGTTTAATTTCTTCTTATGACAATAATAATGTAATTAGATACACTAAGAGATCAAAAGTATCAGGACACGTGGCTGAAAATGACTTACCAGTTCGTAGAGCCCTCCATCGGTAATGCTAGAATTCCAAAAGGTGTTGGCCCACCCTTAGCCTTGATGACAGTTTCCACTCTCGCAGGGATACTTTTAATCAGGCGTTGGAAAGTTTCTTGGTGAATGGTAGCTCATTCGTCACGGAGTGTCGCACTGAGGAGAGGTATCGATGTAGGTCGGTGAAGCCTGTCACGAAGTCAGCGTTTCAAAACATCAAAGGGTGTTCGATAGGATTCAAATCAGGACTCTGTGCTGGCCAGTCCATTTCAGGGATGTTATTGTCCACCTCAGACCGTGCAGTTGGAACAGGTGCTCAATCGAGTTGAAAGATGCAATCGCCATTCCCGAATAACTCTTCAACAGTGGGAAGCAAGGTTAACAGCAACGTAGGCCAATGCCATGATAGTGCCAGACAAGACAAGGGGAGCAAGCCCCCTCCATGAAGAACACGATCACACCATAACACACCTTTGTACGTGCCCGGATACGTTTGATCACATAGTGTATATTTATTTTGTGAACATGGGTGATTTATTATGGAATTAGAACGATTTTATTACGTTTACATTGTTACATAACAATATAATTAAAATAAGATTTGTATAATCTTATGGTACCTGTGTTGTTTTGCACCTGACCTTTCTTTCTTACTTCATTATTAGGCAAACTACTAGTCTGCAAAACAATCATCTATGATAAACCGAAAATGTAGGAATCATTCCTGCAAGTACCAACTGTGTAAAATGACGTACTCTGTTAGCTGTTTACTTCCTCTCAGTTTATTTTTAGTTTCCGTTATCGTGGCTATAATCATTTTGTTTCTTATGTTATTAGTTAATTTTGTAAAACAGTTCTTATATAACAATTACAATTTCCGAGTATACAGAGAAAGCCATTAACATTGCGTAGTTACCAAATATCCAGGAGATTTACCGGGGACTTGGCATATTCACCAAAAGCCGGAGAGATGTCCAAACACGATGCAGTGGTCACGATACAAATACCCAAAAAGAAGTCCGTAACACTGGCTGGCAGCGTAGTCATTCAATTCTCGCACTCTCTTGGCTCACATTAAGGCGGGACGACTAGAACTGCCTTTATCACTTGCTGCGCGCCGTTTTATACCCGTCAGGGCTGAAGGCTCGCCGACTAGCCTGGCCGTACGACCGATGATGCACTCGGTCGCGCCGACCGAGACGTGAAGGTTCCGCTGAGCCCGACCTCAGCGACCTCTCGTGAGCGGTGCCCGTCTTTTCTTGGGGCGCCGCCGCCTCGCAGCTGAGCCCCGGTGACGGCTCTGTCAAGAGGGCGTGGGCTTCTACTACATCTTGATAATTATGTTAAGCTCAATTCCATTATTACCAAGATAATAGATTTTACGTGTCTCATCATGTAATATATCCCGTTCCCGAATTCTTCGCCAATTTCTTGCACGATTCCATTCCGAGGCTCTACTTGTGAGTGTTAGTGAGTAGGTTGAGATTTTACATGCTGGTTGGTTGTTAGCCATTCAGAAAACTCCTTTCCAGGAGAACTAGAGGCTTCTATTTTGGCATGCCCTTTCCTAGATCGCCTTCTCTACGGCTTGGGTCGAGTCCCACCGGCCCACTAGGAAAGTAAAGAAGAATGTAAATAGAGGTAGGTAAAGGGTACAGTAGGAAGCACTTACACAGAGAGAAAGGGAAAAAGTGGAAACGATAGCTCTCGAAATCTAATAGCTTAGAGGTTGAAAACAAAAAGGACTCTGAGTGGCCAACATAGCAGTATATTACTAATAAGTGGAAAGCAGTATATTACTAATAAGTGGAAGAAATTTCGTAGTTGAAATATAAACTACTCCTCGACATATCCTACTCCTTTATCCGGGCCTCGGACAGCATCTTCTGTTGTACTGTTCGCCCTACTCGCCACGCAACTACCTTGGAGATACGTATCATCTCGACAGAAATTCTAGCAGCAGTAGGCAAAATGTGTTCTGAAATATACTATTTTCGAGTGTAAGGAAAAAGCAAACGACTTGTACTGTACTGCATACGAAACCTTATAATGTTCTGATTGCAGGTGAGATAATAGGATATCATGCCTACGCAGGTGCAGAAAGGCTTTGGCTGCATGAGTTTGCAGGCTGCTTCTTACCTAGTTGCGGTATTAATGTTGGTGAGAAGGTTTCCTTGCAATGCATCAAATCTTTATTAAATTATGAGTATTAACTTAAAACACGTTTTGGAAAAAAAGGTACTTGGCATACTAATAATGTTCAATAATATTATATTATTACAAAATTGTATTTTACCAGTAAGAAATATATAAAATATAGCGATGCAAAATAATGTATTTTTCAGTATTAATAATGATTACATAATATTAAAATTATGCAATTACTGTCGATCTAAAACTTCTTTATTCTCTTTAAAAACCTTTCAAGAAACGACACCAGTGTAAGTAAAAAAATCTTCACTTCATAAAATGCTCTAAAAATCGCAAGAATTACTTATATTTTGAAAATCATTTATATAATAAATAATTTTAATTGAAATAAGTAACACAAATATTCTAACATGTTACTGAAATGAGATTTTCTATTATTTTAAAGGCTATCGATTTAAATGGCGTGATTGCTATTCTGAAATCAATGTTGAGAAGAGACACTACCATGGGTAAGCATGGGTTTTTTGTTGTCGTTATTGTTTATTTTTATTTATTCATTAGAATTCAATTATCAAAAATGAAACACTATTTTTAATTTATCACATTCATCTTATGTACAGCACAAAACGTATTGGAAGGCTGCGGCAAAATTGGTGATTTTCCAACAGAAAAAGTCTGTGATACGAAAAAAAAAGATAAATTTTGTTCGAATATATTGTAAATTATTTCTTATAACACTATTGTGTATTCTGAATCCACGTTTTATGAGTCCTTGATACCGAAACATTGCTTTATGGCGAAACCATCGTTTGTTCGACCGTCTGCCTCTCCACCTGTTCGTCCAACTGTCCGTCAATCCAGACTAATGAAGGGCATTGGCTAGACGAGAAGCGAGAAACAGAGTATGCTCTCGTGCAGTTCATTTCCAACTGAATGCGGTGTGGGCTGACAAACTAGGTAAAGCTTGCCTGACATTGACGTACACGAAAGAACAAAGGAGGTTGGCGCTGAGCTACCTCACGGTCTCTGACAACGCAGTAGGAGTACTGGCTAGTGTACTTTCTGTAGACCTGTTGACGAGAGAACAGAAAGTGATCTACGACGAAGTAAAGCTGTTGGACCGCGCACGTAACGAACCTCTTCGCAGGATGAAAGAAGACATGAAGAACGGGGCACGGGCTTCTCTTCTGTCAAAATGGAGCGTGAGGTGGGACGGAGACACCGAGGGAAGGCGGACTTACGTGATGATACGTCGTATTAAACCGTCACATTTTATCCAAAACAGCTATAAATTTTTCCCTTATTTTTTTCGCGGATAAAATAAGACACTTAAAAGAATAGAGCAGGTATAAATTACGTTGATAGCTCTGAATGTCTGAAAAATTAGTGGTGGACATAGTGTGGAAGACAATTCAAAATTTAAGCGTCGGCACGAGATGGTGCGTCAATGCGGTTTCCTGGTGGCTTGGTTAGGCGCACGGTGAGTTAACTCGATGAACATGAGTTAGTGACACGGCGAGAAAAAAAAATTGCTGGTAGAAAACATTTTTGCCGATTCATATAGCTGTTTAGTTTGCGGAGCGTTAAAATAATGCGAATAAGTATGTGCTCCACTACTGCTCCACTACTTTGTGTCAGATCCCCACAATACAAGTTTTTCTGTCAAAAATCACCCTTTTTTCCAGCAGCATTTCATAAGTTTCTCTATACTACGTATATCACTTTGTATATACGTACGTATACTACTCCGTATATACGTACGTATACGGGATATTAAAAAGGTGAGAAATTCGGAACTATCAAAAAGTTGCAAATGGTTGGACAAAAGACAATTTTACTTCAGACTTGTCACATACTTCGAATGTTTTTTGCAGAAAGTTCATGTGGGATATAGTGAATTCGTTTTCATAAGAACTGAATCTGATTAGTAATAATAATAATAATAATAATAATAACAATAATAATTATTGTGAATTATCGTTATTATTATTTCATAACTCCCGAGATGCGTCAAATTACACCTTCTTGCAGGGCCGTTTCAACAGCATTGGCGCCCTTTGGCCTAGGTTAATTTGTAGGCCTCCTATTCTTACTTTCACCGATCCCTTCCTCCCTCAATTTCGATGCTGGAATATAAATAAAATCCTATCAATTAAAAAATAATAATAAAAATATTTTAATATTTAAAGACAATATTTTTTTAACTAAACTTATCATCGATTGGCATTCTCGCATCAACAAGCAACATTCCCTATTTAAATATTATCCAATTATGCATGACATATCACTCCATTAAGCCAATTTTTGCGTATAATTTAGTCATTCATCACTTTTTATATGATTTTATTTTATTTTCGAAAACTTCATTATTAAATATTTGTTTTAAGAATTATTCGGGGGCCCTGGGCCCTTCGAACCCGTGGATTAACACGACACTGCCTTCTTGACGCAAATGGAGGACTGAAAGGTTTATATTTGAGTGAAGAGATATGAAAAAGCAGATTACCCAATTTCTGCATTGGATATAATCTACTGGATTTACGATATTATAGTCGACTTTCATATATTACATGTGAAAAATAGGAAATGTAAGTGACTTTCTTAACATCTTAATGTTTCAGTCGAACTGGTAGCTAATATCGGTATAGAAGGTTGGACAGCTATTTGCCTTATGGCCGACATTGGATTGATCGCGGCGTTAATAAGGGTATGATTCTTTGTTTATTTACTATGTTTATGTGATTTTATGTGGCGCGTCCGAGGTTAAGAATGAAGTACGGTCTCTTATGGCGGCAGTGATGCCAAACATGGCGCATTTCTGCTGTACTGTATGAATCGGAAGTTACGCGCTCGATGGTAACAACGAATCCCGTAACGAGGCGGAGCGCTAGTTTAGCGCTCAAGTACTTTATCTCGAACGTTTCCAATTTCCTGAAATCGTATTTTCCTCCCTTTCCTCAAATCCAAAGCTATTCCTAGTGGACTGCAATACACGGGAACGTTTCTATTCAGCTCTGTTCTTCGAAATGTCATAAGAAATCAGGAAGAAATATGAATTTTAAAGTGCACCACTATTTCAACACGTTATCCAAAATTCAAACCAACTACATGAAGTTGCAAAAAGGCCAAGCTTTGTGTTTCCATTTGTAATAAGTTATTGACTTGCCGAACAAAATAATTTAAAAACTGCTTCAACTGAATAAAGGAAAGTCGACCGCCCAACGAGAAACAACCTGCATTTATGGATTCCACGACAGCTGCAAGAAACCGCGCTGCCCTCGCGCCAGATTACCACTTGTTTATTTTGACTACTGAGCACTCTTGCACTTAACGGTTAGTGAATTGTATATTGTAAATTATGTTTGCAAAATAAGGGATCTTAAATTTTAAAAAATGTTAATTTGTAAATTTACTACAACCTAAAAGTTTAAATGAAAAAAAGTAAACGAAATCACATTTAACTTTGATGTGATTAAAACCATAAATCTCAGAAACAAAACAACTGTACCCAGGCGAACAATCACATGTAAACAATCGGTACGCGAACTTGAACTAAATTGTAAGGATATTCACCAAGATGTGGTAAATACATAATGTATTCGAGGTACTATTTTAATAATGTAATTGCTGTCATGAACAATTAAGTTAATGAGGGTTTAAAACAGTTTTGAAATCTTAAAAACAGAGGGTATGTTTATTTACTGAAAAACTTCATAAGATCCAGTACTTCATTCTTAACCTCGGACGCGGTGTAATATAATATATAATGTATTACTACTAGTACCTTTAATATAATGTATTATTACTAGTGTGGCGTCGTCGGGTGCGAGTAACACACAGCCACGGAGTTCTTTTATACAGATTTATTTGCAAGTTTTTATACACTATATACACTCCTCGGAAACTAGCGCTGCACTCTCAGCACTGCACATCTCTGAGGCCTCCCCGCCCCAGTCTGACGCAGACCCCAGCGGCTTTTGGCGCCGCTCCTGGTCTCTCGTCTCGTGGCAACCGCCACACCTCGCTGCCGAAGCTCGCGATAACCCCTGGCTGGTGACAAGTGCCTTCCGCGCCGCGATTCGGTTCAAACTCGAATGACCACGGCTGGTTACTCTCCAGCCGCCTCGCAAGGGGTCACGTGACAGACCTCCCATACCGGCAGCGTCCTCTCATCCCGAACTTGGGCCTGTTTGCAATTTTGGAGACCAGCTGTACCGCGGCTGGACTCACCCATCATTTCCCTCTGCGTCAGTTGACACCCGCGTTCCGAGACACGCCCACCCGGGCCCTTGAGAAGGGCCCGCCTCTGGTGGCCTTCCCCTTGCCGCCAAAGGACTGCCCCCGCCCCCTCGCTGGCCTTCCGATATGTGTGGTCCATCTGGCTCATTGGCACGACGTTACACTAGTACCTTTCTCGTATACGTATACATGAGGAGAAACTAATCCAAACGCGTATTATCGCAGGAAATATAATATTTGAAAGTTAAAATACTGATACTTTAAGACATATTTATTGTAATTTTTTCGTGTTCACGTCAGTTGATGAGGTGAAAACAATGAGGACAGGGAATCTATTCAAGGGTAGTAACCTCATTGATCACTCGTCCTGAGTACACAATAAAACGATTTCTTTAAGAAAAACAAAAAATCATATTTATTATCAATAGTACTTGATATACTATATTTGGTGCATTCTTTACTCATTTATTTCAAGATCATGATCTTTAAACCATTCATAATTTTCATTTGCAATTACTTTAATCTTTATAACATCCTTTGGATTGTACAAACTGTCAACAAAGTGGTTACTACTCTCGTATCAATGACTGGATGACGCCCCACTATGCGCATCCCTCACACGCCACGTCGCCGGTGCCACTCGCAATGGAGGTACAGCCGCTCCACGTAGGCGCCCTAAATGCTCTAACTGGAATACTACAACGTCCACAACACATCACGCAGCTAACCAACTTGCATTATCATGTGCATGCATCACAACATGCCCAATTACTGTTCCAGTTACCATCGATTGCGATCTAATTAATCCACCACGTGGCGGCATCATTTCTGTTCTAAACCTAGTGAGATCTCTACCACGATTAATTTGCTACCATACTGTTACATTTATCAAGTTACGTTTTAGTTGTTCATATCGTCTTATTTGATTTCACTGGATTACAATTTTCATGTTGTCTCTGTTTCTATGCATCACGTCCGTTCTCCATGGTATCTAGGCCTCCACCTAGCCTGCACTACCCCACATAACGACCGCCTCTCCTCTGGCGGAATCAAGGCGCGCGGAAGACCCATTCGGCCGTCAGTGGTTCAGGTCACCGCGTTTCGGTTTGCGCGCTGAGTTTAAATGATTTTGTCAATTAAAGATAATGATACCGACTGGCTCTCAATGAGTTCATTATACAAGGTTTACGTTGTATTCACAAAAATATCGGATGAGTTTTTTATATTTACAGTATGTAAGCATTATACGAGAAAAAATAAAATTATTAAAAGTT